GGGTTGGGGGCAGGGCCAGCCCGGCAGCAAAGGGGAGAAGCCAAAGGCCGCAGCAGCATCCGAGCCCCCCAGAGAGCCATAGCGAGCTGAGCTGCCCTCTCCCCTTTGCACCGAGGGCTGGTGCGAGGGGCTGACTCCCTCCGTTCCAAGTGTCCCATTCGTGGTGCCTTCCTCACCCACAGCTGGGCAGGGAGAGAGTCCAGGAAGTGACTCTGAGATTGTGAAGTGTGTTAGTGTTTCCCTGTTAACAGGGTCCCTCGTGGGTTTTAATCCATATCTAGAAAGGGCTCTTCAATAAAAATCTGGACAGGTTGTTAAATATGTAGTTTTCCTCTTCACACTCTGTTGCATTTTGCCTGATCGGACAGCAGATTGGTCTGAGGGTCCCTTCTGTACCCCTTTTAAAATTATATTGCAATCTGATGGTTGCCATGGAGGTGAGGACAGATTTCCTTTAGTTTATTTATGCCATTCCGTGAACTCTGATCACTGATGAGTGTCTGGGCTCTATATTTTGTGCAATATTATTTCTCAGTAGAACACTGCAAATTGTTCTTTGCTGCAACAGCTGTTATTATGCAATTGTGAACTTTCATTACCCTAACAAGAATTCTCCTATGGACCAGTTTTTAAGTTGGCAACAATCAGTGAAAAAGGTTCTGTTGTTTACAGTCACATTTACACATAAATGCCAAGCTGTAAAATAATGGAATTTTTTAAAAAAGTCATAGAATCACGCCTGCCAGACCGAAAAACAGCCTTCATAATCAACATTGAGATAATTCTTCAGTACAGTACTTTCAGCATGAAAGTCATTCCACTTTGCTTACTATGAGCCCTCTACTGGAGCTCCTTACTGAATTTTTAAGCTGACTTCTCTTTTAAGTCTTAGGCTCAAATTCTCCAAATGCTTACATGTTAGTATACATTTACTCACATGTATAGTCCCATTGAGCACTAGACGGCTACCATGTCAATGAAGTTACACACTTGTGTAATTTATTTCAGCATTATGGGGTTTTTTCCTCTTTGCTTCAGATCAACCTAACCTGTTTGCTTTGAGGCTCTGACTTTCTGCCCAGTTCACCAGCTGTCTGCTGGACTTGCCATTTTTTTAATGTCTGCCTGTCAGAAAAGTTGTTGATTCTTCTGCTTCAAGTCAAGCTCTTTTCTGTTGTCTGTTACTTTCTGTCTTAAAGCCAGCTACTCAGCACATACTGCACCAGCACACAGCTGCTAACTCGCCTGTGTCTGAAGGATGGCACCCAGAAATTCTACTGCCAACTCCTCTTCCAAAACGTTCCCATCCTCCACAACTGCAGAGCTATGCTGAGGCCTCATTCTGAGAGGATCAAGTTGTGAGTTGTAAAGAAGTTTAAAATGGAGGAAAGAGACAAGTCAGAAAGGATAAGAGTGAAAACAGTGTAACTAAAGGGTCAGGTGCTCCTTCATTGCTTATTAGGCCAGGCTATCCACCCCTGTTTTTTTTCCATCCCAGCAGGATCGCAGCTTCACTCCTCGTCAACCATTCCCTGCACCTCAGACTTCCAGTTGCATGATAACATAAAAGTTCACCACACATGAAATAATGTGCCACTCTGGCAAGCTGCTGCCTGAGTAGGCAGCAATAGGGGGTAACAAAGAACTTCCTCTTGCTGCACAGCCAAGTGGGCCTGATTTCATGGAAATCAGGCTTTTCAGATTTTCACGCAGATCAATAGGGTTCTGCCCATTTCTGGCATTTTTATGGCTCACTGCAAGCCAGTTTTTTTCATGGATCTCTTCCCCACAGTCCGCATGGTTCAGATCCCCCATCCTTTGACTCATAGCTGTGGTTACACTGGGAGAGCTCCCTCCCAGTTCAGTTTTGAAACACAAAATAGGAGAGCTAATTGCAAGAACATGAACCTCTGCAGCCAATAGGCTGGTGCATGAGGAGAAAAGGTGATGATATAAGATGGGGAACAAAGGCCAAAGCTGGTGTGTGGTCTTCTTTTTAAACAATTTACCTGACAGCAGTTTGACTAAGTCCAACATTCATTGTAACAGTAATTCAAGATTGCTTTGTGTTAACCCAAAAAGAGTTGCTCCAAGATCAAATTAATAAATGAGTTGGCTATGCATCTGAGTTTGTTTAGATGAGGGCAGTGATGGGCAACCTGGGGTAATTATCCTAATTGCTCTTGTGTACCTGGAAGTTGTGGGATTTGCTGATTGAACTGTAGCAGTGCTTTGATTGGATGCAGAGGGAGTATATGGCTCTCACAGTCAATGTTGTGGGCAATCAGCATACACCTCACTTCACAAGTCCTTGCTTTACATGTGTGTCACTTTAGTAATAATGGTAGGGAAAAAACTATTTGGATGGAAACGAGCAGAGTCTGGCAACCCAGTATGTGGGCAGTGGTAAACAAAATATCGTATGGGCCACACACAGAACCCTATGGGCCACATGTGGTCTGCAGATTGCCCACCATTGGATCAGGGTATAGTTATTTCACAAACCAAAAGGATTCAAATTTGTGTACTCCTGACTATATCCACTCCCTGCAGCAGATCTATAACTGTGATCACTAGCTCTATTCCTGTCAATGGATCTATGAACAGTCTACATCGGCTGAGGATCTGCCTCCTCCCTGTGTGGATATATGATGGATGAAAGAGTACTTGGGCCCAAGTCAGCAAAGAGACTTGGGTGTTGCATCACCAAGCAGTGGAGCAGACCCTGCAGGGACATCTGTTTGAGAGGTGGGGAACCCCTGTTCAAATATCTTCTCATTTGGGAGAGGAGGAACTGAACTGGGATCTCCCCCTTCCCAAGGGAGTAAACTGGATTAAAGTTTATAAGGGAGATGGCCTCTGTTCCCATTTCCACCCCCCATCTGTACCACCCACCACTATTGTGTGTGCGCAATTAGGCAATCTCAAAGGATAGGGCCCTGCTGCAGGCAAGGTGGAAGGGTAACAGCTATCTTCACTTGGTTTGAAGATCATGCTGAGGCTTACACATGAAACAGATAGCCAGCTGCTTTCCTGGGGTAGAAACTTTGGGCCAAAATTTTTATTGTATAAGACCCTCAGACACCTGTTTGAACATGTATGGTTAGGTGGAAGCTAAGCATGATTGCCTTTTTTGCAGAACGCAGCAGTGCCTGCATCTTTGAGTGGATCTAGGCCAGGATGCTTCCTTACTTTGCTCTACAGCACAATATACTTTTAAACAAAAACTGAGTTTGACTTCTAGACCCTTTATTTTGTCATTAAGTATCTCCAATAATTTATATCTGGACTATGAGTACAGTTTAAAGTGAGAGGGAATGTGAAGTCCATGTTTGCTTACCAAATGATAATCAATATGAACACTTTTGAAATGAAGTATTTGTGAAATTCCTAACTTAGGAATAGAAGTCAGTAAAGACCTGAAAACCATAGGTATTTATCCTGTTGCCTCCCCATCTAGGTGCATTTATTAAACTAGCATGAATATATTAGCCCCTGTAATCCTGACTTTTCTTGTCAGGAAAAGCTGGGGGCCCTGCACTCAGCAACTCTTCCCCTGCCCTCCTAGGCTACGTCTAAACTGGCATGATTTTCCAGAAATGCTTTTAACGGAAAAGTTTTCCGTTAAAAGCATTTTCGGAACAGAGCGTCTAGATTGGCATGGATGCTTTTCCGCAAAAGCACTTTTGCGCAAAAAAGCCCCGATCACCATTTTCGCAATCGGGGCTTTTTTGCGAAAAACAAATCTCAGCTGCCTACACTGGCCCTTTTGCGCAAAAGTTTTGTGCAAAAGGGACTTTTGCCCGAACAGGAGCAGCATAGTATTTCCGCAAAAGGCACTGATTTCTTACAGTAGGAAGTCAGTGCTTTTGTGGAAATTCAAGTGGCTAGTGTAGACAGCTGGCAAGTTTTTCCAGAAAAGCGGCTGATTTTCCCGAAAAACTGGCCAGTCTAGACACAGCGCTAGAGTTTCCAGACCACTACAAACAGCTAATTTATGGCACACAAGCTCAGGGAGGGAGGGGAAGGAGTGGAAACAGGGGGGCACAAGAGAGGAAGAGGTGGGGCAGCTGCGGAGCCATACAATCAAGGGACAAGAGCAGAGCCCTGTAAACCTATTGGCTGTGTCTAGACTGCCTCCCTTTTCCGTAAAAGGGATGCAAATTAGACACATGGCAATTGCAAATGAAGCGGGGGGATTTAAATCCCCCGCTTCATTTGCATAAAAATGGCTGCCACTTTTTTTCGGCTCAGAGCTTTGCCGGAAAAAAGAACCAGTCTAGACGCAGATTTTTCAGAAAATAAAGCCTTTTCCGAAAGATCCCTTATTCCTTATTTTAAAAGGAATAAGGGATCTTTCCTGAGAGCTTGTCTTCACTAAACGGTGGATCGATGATGCAGCGATAGATCCACCGGCTTTGCTGGAAAAAAGCGGCAGCCATGTTTATGCAAATGAAGCGGGGGGGATTTAAATCCCTGCTTCATTTGCAATTGCCATGTGTCTAATTTGCATCCCTTTTACGGAAAAGGGATGCAGTCTAGACACAGCCATTGTGTTTTGATATGGTGGTTGCAGATGGGTTTTTGTTTGATTGTTTGTTTTTTACAGTGGGTATGTCATCACTGTAGTATTCGCTTGGGTGACTGGCATCAGGTTAACTTGCCTTCAATGTGAACATCCACACCACAAAAACCCCGTCCAAGTTACTGTATCCTCACTGATATTGCGCTCCCAGCATGTATTGATAGGATTTCTATAGGCATATCCCATGATTATTTGTGATGAAGTTGTTCTATAACTTTTTCCCAGTGTGTAGTGGGAGATAGGCATTGAAGGACAATCAGCCCTGATGTGCTTTAGCTTATGGTCTCTCTGCAATGTTTGTGGGTTACTAACCCAAGTGAAAGTCTTACTCAGCTACTCTGCATTTGTAAGAGGGGCTTGTGTGTGTAGATGGAAGGTTACATAGGCACAACACTCAAAGAGCATGAGTTACCTCTGCAGTGAAGAAATACCCTAAATATCCTACAGATGCAAGGGTCCCAATTCTCTACTGTCTCAGTGATTCTGCTGTTCCCATTTACACCTGTGTACAGAAAGTATAATGAGATATCAGGCTGATTTGGTTGCATTTTCAGTCATTTTTATATGCACTTTGCATAGGTATACATGCAGGTGACCTCAATGGAAGAGGAGATCAGAGCTCCTGCCAGTTCCCCAAAGTTCTGTCTTTCTGCCAACATCACTTCTGTATTGCTTAGCTTCAGTGTGATCCTTGGCTTCATGGCACTGATTGATCACTTTGGTTATACAGCAAGAACAAAATGTTTGGGTATTACGTGTTTTGACTCGCAAATGCCGCTAGGAATAGTTCACTTGAAGATTAACTGGCAAGATAGGGAAGAAAAATAATGCTTTAATCTCTTGCATTTTAAGGGTTTGTTTATTATTATTATTATTATTTTATTATTTTGCATATGTGGTTGCTTTGATATTTTGTTACAATGTTTCATTTGGGAGCGAGACTAATCTTTTTAGTAATGTTTAAATCACAACACTTTCTTCTCCTGGCACTTTTATCTGAATCTTCCTTTTATCTAGTTTTATTAGTATGCATAAATTATATATTTTTTACATTTATCTTATTGTAAAATACTCCATTTCTCTTTTAATGAGAGGGTATACACCATTTATGTCTGATCAAAGACAGTTATTTAACTTGTGCTAAATCAGTTAAGTTAGAAGAAGAGAAAGCCAGTCTTTTGAGTTGTCTGCAGTTTCTGTCCTTTTTGAATGACTATTTATGTATTTAATGATAGAAATGTAGCCGTGTTAGTCTGGGGTAGCTGAAACAAAATGCAGGACAATGTAGCACATTAAAGACTAACAAGATGGTTTATTAGATGATGAGCTTTCATGGGCCAGACCCACTTCCTCAGATCAAATAGTGGAAGAAAATAGTCACAACCATATATACCAAAGGATACAATTAAAAAAATGAACACATATGAAAAGGACAAATCACATTTCAGAACAGAAGAGGGATGCGGGGGGAGGAAGGTAAGTGTCTGTGAGTTAATATTAGAGGTGATAATTGGGGAAGCTATCTTGGTAATGGGTAAGGTAGTTGGGGTCTTTGTTCAATCCCCCTGGAGAGTGTCGAATTTTAACATGAATGACAGTTCAGAGGATTCCCTTTCAAGTGCAGATGTAAAAGGTCTTTGTAGCAGAATGCAGGTGGCTAAGTCATTTAGAGAGTGTCCTTTCTGGTTAAAGTGGCAAGAAACTGTTTTCTCTTTGTGATCTTGTCTGATATCTGTTTTGTGGGCATTAATCCTTTGGCGAAGTGTCTGAGATGTTTGTCCAATGTACATAGCAGACGGACACTTTCGGCACATGATAGCGTAGATTATATTTCTGGATGCGCAGGAATATGTGTTCTTGATCTTATAACTCACTTGGTTAGGTCCAATAATGGTATCAGCAGAATGAATATGTGGACAAAGCTGGCAACGGGGTTTGTTGCAAGGGAAGGTACCAGGGTTGGTATTAGTGTGGTATGTCCTGTGGTGGTTGGTAAGAATCATCTTGAGGTTAGGTGGTTGTCTATAGGAGACTATGGGTCTGTCTCCCAGAGCCTCTTTGAGTATGGTATCCTGTTCCAATATAGGCTGTAGTTTATTGATAATGTGTTGGACAGGTTTAAGTTGGGGGTTGTAGGTGATGACAAGTGGTGTTCTATTGTTGGTTTTCTTGGGTCTGTCTTGAAGTAGATGGTTTCTAGGTATTCGTCTGGCTCTTTCAATTTGCTTTTTTGTTTCTCTGGGTGGGTAGTTGAGATTTATAAATGCTTGGTAGAGATCCTGAAGCTTCTGGTCTCTGTCAGTGGGGTTAGAGCAGATGCGGTTGTATCGAAGGGCTTGGCTATAGACGATGGATCATGTGGTGTGTTCTGGATGGGAGCTGGATGCATGTAGGTAACTGTATGAGTCGGTGGGTTTTCTGTAGAGAGTGGTGTCTAATTTTCCATTGTTGATTTGTACGGTGGTGTCCAGGAAGTGGATCTCTCATGTAGAATGGTCCAGGCTGAGGTTGATGGTGGGGTGTAGGTTGTTGAAATCTCTGTGGAATATCTCCAGTGTTTCTTGGCAATGCGTCCAGATCATAAAGATGTCATCAATGTACCGTAGGTAGAGAAGGGGTGAAAGGGTACGGGAGTTGAGGAAACGTTGTTCTAGGTCAGCCATAAAGATGTTAGCATACTGTGGGGCCATGTGTGTACCCATGGCTGTGCCGCTGATCTGGAGGTATAAGTTGTTCTCAAACTGGAAATAATTGTGGGTGAGAACAAAGTTACATATTTAACATATTTTACATATTTAAATATATGTATTTAATGAAGAACTGTTTTTGATAGGTGTACTCACCTCTCATGAGTGACTCTTATAAGCTGTGTGATATGCTGCCATCTTCTTTTTCCTCAGGTGCCTCTTGCAGGCCACCAGCCTCAACTAGGCAGGTGTTCAATGTCTCAGCCTTCCAGCCAAGTCACACAGTCAATAGAAATGAATGAATCTCAGGCCTGCCGATGCTACTGCAATGGCAGCTAGAGCCCTGGACCCTTTAAATTCCCACTGGAGTGCCATGCCGTGTGCTTCAGGTCACGCTGGGGGTGGAGAGGGTGCCCAGGACATGGAGGGCTGGCTGCTCTCAGCCTTGCCCTTCCACCCAAGACCCCTCCCCTTCTTGAAGCACAGAGCAGGGACTATTCACAGGAGGGATGTAATAGTGTAGTCGATTAACTGATAAGCAAAAGCTTATAAATTAGTGCTATAGATTACACTCATCCGCCCTCCCCCTCCCAGTACATTTTTGGCAGGCTGGCCAGCAGCCCAGCTCAGTCCTGGCTCACACCAGTTCCAGGACCTACTCCTGCTGGCAGCTCTGTGTTTAAAGTGTATTAGGGGGCAGGCGACCCATGACAGGTCCGGGAGTTCAGACCTCCCCCAGACAGGGGCTGCTGGCACCCTGTGCGGAGTGGCAGGGGGCTCCTCGAGAGTGGGGCTGGAGTGCACTGGCTGCTGGCTTCGCCCATGGATACTATAGAACAGTTGAGTAACTGATTAAAAATTCATGAGGTTACTTGACTATTCAATTAACAAATTTTTAATAACCCTAACCCACATCTTGAGTAGGGGTCCACACATGCTGTCAACTCCCCTGATGAATTCCTTCTGGGGTATCAAAGGTCCACTGAGAACTATTGCTTCATCCATGTTAGTGTCTTCAGCTCCATCTCTGGGCTCAGTTCTCATCCCTGTCTGGGCTAATTTTAAGTCCTTCCCTGTCCAGAGTTCCACCCCTTTTTGTGGGGCTTTTAAAAGAGCCTTTTCCTCCTCTCAGGGCTAAGGCCATTCCCCCAGTAATTAGAGGGAGGAGTTGGGGCCACCCCCACTCCAAGTCCCAGCCTAGAGACCCTATAAATAGCAACCATGGTTTGCTTTCTTGACTTGGCTGCTTCTGCACCAGGCTTTTTCACCTCTGCCTGTTACTTTAGGGATAGAGCTCAGCTCCTCTTACTCCCTCGTTTGGTTAATGCAGCCCATATAGTTTCCTTTGGCCAATGCAGAGCATTCGTTCTTGTGCATCTGGCCCCTGCAGCTCCTTTTAACTGAGCCCACTGAAGTCTGATTCGCTGCTTCTAAGGAGGCCTCCAGGCCTGAGGACACTCCTTTGAAGCTCTCCTTCTGGGTCAGAGTGTGATAGGGCCATGGGACCTCCAGCAGAGGGCTTCTAAGGGTGTGACACACACTACTACACCCTTAAATTCTCTTTTTTATCCACCAGTAAAAGTACTTGTGAAAAAAACTAGACATTGTCACTGTTTTTAGCTCATTGGAGATATGTTCTTGTTGGATGCAGAAGTATTTAATTTCAAGATGACATCGACTAGTGATCTGAAAGAAACCAGTTGCAAGCAAAGTTCTTGGGACAACTTGCTACCAGATTTTCCTGAGGGGCCGCTTTGTGAGTACCGTAAGAGGGCTTCCTTCAGTTGGAAGGAGATGGCAGTGTTTATAGAGGAAGAAGATCTCATCCAATTCAAGGTAAGTTTTTTCAAACATTGATGTGTTGTTTGTGGAACGGGAGGGTATTTTTGAAGGAAAGGGTATAAGATGAAGTAATTAAAGATGGGTCAGTGTTGGATAAGAAGAGAGCACTTTTATGTAGTCACTTTTTAAAGTAGAATTGACTTCTAAACAATAATTCTTTCACTGAACTGAGCATAAGGATGATGTCACAGGGCAGGTACGCCCAACCCCCTCTAAGGCAGGGCATTGAGCCTATCTGGACCCTTACTATGTGCTCCACCCCATGAGTGTTACAACGCCAAGTACCGCTATACTGTACAAGAGTCTAGTCTACCAGACACATTCAGTAGCCACCCCATGTCTGCGGGGCAGTAGAACCCAACGGCCTGAGTCAGTAGTAAGTCCCTGTTTGCAGGGCAATAATAGGGTCTAGTGGCCCAAGTCAATAGCAATCCCTAGGCATGTGGCAATGGCCCCTATTCGCAGGGCAGTAGGGCCTGGCGGCCCAAATCTATAACAGCCCCTGGTTCATAGGGTCATAAGGGCTGGCGGCCAAAGTCAGTCACAGCGGTACCGTTCCCTTGGGTATAAAGAGGGTGGGGTAGGGGGACGCGGGCTCTCCCTCTCCACCAGGTCTCAGGGCTCTGGTTTGGCTGACAGGATGTGCGTGAACTTGTCAACTAGTTCACGTAGCTGCCCTAGTTGCCTTGGCACACGATCCTTCCCAGTGGTTATGGGTCTTTGCTCCAGGGGTCCTTCAGCTTGTGGCCCAAGCTCTGGTTCTGCGGGGCTATGGGGAAATCATCATTGCCTCATTCTTTCAAGGCTTTTAGGAGGTTCCTGTGGTATAACCACATCTCTTTCCACCATCCCGGCAGCCAGACCTCGTAATCCGCAGGCCCTGCTCTTCTTGTCACCTCAAAAAGACCTAGCCACTTTGCTAGTAGTTTTGATTTAGATGAGGGTAACAACAGCAAGACTTGGCCCACCCTCTCCACCAGGTCCCATCCCAGGGCCCTATCAATGGTGGATGTGTCCCACCATTAGCTCAGCAGGGAATGCGCCCGCAACACGCTGAGGTCTCGGGGATCCAACTCATCACCCTGGGCTACTTCCTACCTGCCTCAAAGCAGTCAATGTCTTCCCCACTTACCGCCTCTGAACTGGGAGTTTCCCTGGCTGGCTGGCCTCTGCTGCATTCTTCGGCTACTCCGCCTCCTCTGGTTGCAGTTCCTTCCTCTGTGGTGGTCATCCCTGACTGAGCTCCGCCACTGGCCTGTATACTGGTCCTCCAGTTGGAGCATTCCCAGCAGGGCTGTGTGGATGGGGCTCTCTCAGCCAGATAGCCCCGGCTGACTACTTCCAGCCCAGTGTGGGGTTGGTACACCCAGACACAGATGGTCATACCTGGTCAAGCCAAAGGTCCCTCTAGCCCAGTATCCTGTCTTCCGACAGTGGCTAATGCCAGGTGCCCCTAAGGGAATGAACAGAACAGGTGATCACCAAGTGATCCCACCCCGTCACCCTTTCCCTGCCTCTGACAAACAGAGGCTAGGGACACTATGCCTACCCATCCTGTCTAATAGCCATTGATGGACCTAACTTCCATGAATTTATCTAGCTTTTTTTTGAACCCTGTTTAAGTTCTTGTCTTCTGGAACTCGGGTAAGAAGTGCCACAGGTTAGCTGTGCAGTGTGTGAAAAAATACTTCCTTTTCTTTGTTTTAAACCTGCTACCTATTAATTTCATTTGGTGACCCCTAGTTCTTGTGTTACGGGAACAAGTAAATAACTTTTCCTTATTCACTTTTTCCACACCAGTCATGATTGTATAGATCTCTGTCATATCCCCTGTGGTCTCTTCTTTTCTAAGCTGAAAAGTTCCAGTCAAATGAGCGATGCAAGCGACTAGTTGAGTAGTCAACTATCCGATAAGCATAAGCTTATTGGATAGTCAACGAGTGATGTGACTAGTTGCTCCCCCCCTTGCAGCCCTTGTCGCTTCACCTTCTCCTCTTCCCCCGCCCTTGCTGCCCAGCAGGCTCTTGTACATTTCAAAGGCTGAGACGCCACAGAGCACATGGGACCAGTCCACTGCTGGACCCGCGCTCCCAGCTGGGCTTCCACTTCTGAGCCTGGCAGGGCTCATGCTACAGTTCAAAGATGGAGGCGCCCTTATGGGCTAATCAAATAGTCGATGGAAATCCCATCGGCTATTTGATTAATTAATTTATCTAAATTTAATATTCCTGTGTCAAATATAACTGCTAATCTGCTATGTATTTGAGAGAGTTTGTTTGTTCAACAACTTCTCCTAAATGGTATATGCTAGGACCACCACATTTGATATACTGTACAGCTTCCTCTTATCATAACTTAAAGCAAGGTCAGGGTATGGTTGTGCCAGTAAAATGGTTTGTGTCTGGAATAGGATTGCTTCTCATAAAACCATACAGAAAAGAGACATAATCATCAGGCAGGTGAAAGTGGCTGGCCCCCCCCCCCCCCCCATACAGGACTGCCTCAGCTCCAAGACTCCCACCCTCCAGGTGCACTTCCCCCCCACCCATTTGTATGGGAACATTGCTGGCTGGGAAAGTGCACAGTTTGCTGCATTCCTCACTCTGACCCAGCCGGGGGACATGTACTGCTTCCTCCGGCTGTGCCTGCTGGAGCTACAGTGGCCATGGAGAGGCATTTCTCACCTGGCTCCAAGCTGCTCCAGTGAGACAGGTCTAGTATGGTCCTTTCTCCCTGGGTCAGCCTGCATACTGAACCCCTCATCCCCAGTCCTACCCCAGAGCAAAGACTTAAATGAAGAAAAGACAAAACATTGAGTTAAGGATGTGAGCAACGCCAGGTAAATCATCTAGTGACAAATACTGGGAGGCATTACCAAATTACAGCAGACACTAAATTATAGTCTCCATTTCCAATTAACAAATATATTTGCATAGGACACTGTCCAGATCAAAGTTGTAATGCTGCAGTGGCTCGGGGGCAACAATACCAAACTCAGGGCAGGCTGTTAGGAGACAAACTCCAAATTATGAGTTCTGTACTCAGGCTAGGTCTACACCGCAGTGACATAGTTATACTGACCTAACCTGCTCTGAATTGATACAGTAGTTTTCATGAGTGCGGGGGAGAGTGCACCCTGGTTCCTTCTTTTTCCTCTCATCACCTTCTTTCTGAAGAGCAGGGGAAGGCACATTTGCAACCCAAAGCTCTGTGTATTTCTCCCTAGATTATCTGATCGAAGCTGTTGCCTAAGGAGACAGACATCTCCCCAATACAAGCTCCCTTTCAAAACTGTCCTTGGAAGATTAACATTCAGTCAGCCAGCCAGGGATGTAACTGTTCCAAATTAGATCATCAGAAAGTGCCTAGCCTGTCTGTGAGGACTCCACTCTGATAGCTATAGTTGACAGTTGGACTAGGTAGACTATGCAACGGCTCCCTTCTGGAAAGGTGACTACATAATGGCTGAAATGTCATTACACAGCCACTGCTAGTTGGTGAAGAGCCTGAATGTGACCCTCAGAGCGCTACACTGATGCTCAAAGGAGGAGGAGTACTAAAACAATATTACACTCCTGCCAGTGATCAAATACTAATACAGCTAAAATGTAACCACAGGAGGAAACAGGGGCCTAACGCTGTTCTTGGGATATGTTTGCTCACATATTATAGTGAAGGTTTAATTTTAAGAAATGGCAGTTTCCAGGAGCTTCTGACTCATGCAATGCTACGTGTGGTTGCCTGACTTTTGAAAGATATATCTGGCACTCACATTGTCAGTGCTATATCACATTTTAGTAAAGCTTTGTTATGCATATCACCATTTCTTAAATTCAGCCTTTTGCATTTTTATTTGGATATTTATTTCTTAATTTTGGCAGAAAAAACAGCTGCTGTGCTAGAAAGCCTTATTCAGCCAGGGAGGAAAATAAACATGATGCTTTAACATTTAACTTATTCCAACTTTCTGGTATTAAATTTCTATTGCCAACTTCTCCCCTCAAGAACAGAATCTTCTGTGCTTTTGAAAATGATCCTCTCTTTGCTCGTTATCCCGGAGAAGATGTGACTCTCGAGAAGTATCGTGAGCTGACATTTCTACGCTGTAAAAGGCTCTTTGAATATGAGTTTCTTAAGCTGGAAGATATCATGGAGAAGCCATTAAAAATTATGGTTCTTATAAACTGCCTAGGAATGTACGATTGGTCTCTGGGTACCAAATATTTGCTAAATGCTCAGGTAAGTACAATTCAGAGAAAGTCTTATTACTCTGTGGCACTGCATTTTCATAGATTTTTTTTCCTCTTTGAGGAAGATTTTCTAAAAGCAGAGTCTCAACCCAACTATATTTCTGTTTTTAAATAAGAAAAGTGAGTTGTCCCTTAATCCTTTGTCCTTCAGTTGAATCTTTCACTAAGGATAGTCAATAGAGATGCTGGCTGAGTGCATTATTTAGTGACTCTTTCTGTTTCCATTTAATGATTTATTTGATTAATGATTTTTTCTGCTGTATGGCCAGCTCTACTGCTTAGTACCCATCTTGTCTGTGATTCTGAGATATAGATAACTTTTCAGCAGAAACTGAATTAAGACCACCAACCGTTTTGTAATTAGAACAGCATGCAATGGTAAAAGCTTTCACTTACTGCTGATCTGGGATGGTTTTGCTAGCCAGCCACAGACTCAGTCATTGAATCATCTAAAACCAAACTACATGCAGTGAGCTCGTATGTTGTCAAAGGTTTTGCATCCCTGAAGTGGGCTTTTGCACCCAGAACTACAGGCAGAAGTGGAAGGTGAACCCAGTGAGGGTTCCATTACCACAGCCAAAGCTGAGCTTGTCATGAGGCGCCACGTCTTCATGACTCATGCTGTCCTTGGCCCCTTTTCTGTGTAACGCAACTTGTTTTCTGTCTTTGGATGGCATTCAGTGCAGTACAGAGGAGCTAGCACAAAGCCCCAGTGATATCACCATGTTAAGCCCTCATAATATCATTTAAGTGGGACGTATGTGCTGGATACCTCTGTTGACCCCTATTGAGGGTGAACATTGTGCTTAGGGACTGTAGTGCTTATTCACATTTTCCAGCATTTTTAGAGGGATTTCACAGTCGTCTCTCTCATTTTGTGTTTTCAGGTGTTTGGTGGTGCAATTGAGAATACTGGCTCTGAAAGGCATAAGGAATTTGTGAAACAAACCAGTAACATGGAGGTAATTTTGGGGGTAGCTCTTCAGGGCTGGGTACTGTCAAAGTTAAGGGGCTAGCTGTACTTCTGGGCCCTTTCTGATCTCGGAGTACAGGTGGTCAGCCCTTAAACATTACCTGACCTGGGGTGGAATTTTGCAATTCTTCGACCAGAGTCTGTCTAGTCTGGAAATCGAGGGTGTGATCGCACCACAAGTAGATACCTTGTTTGAGTGTGTGAGCAGTAAAGCCACGGTAGTTTGATGCAAGCCCACCCAGAACTCTGGGTTAATTTACTAATAGTCCTAGCCTTGAGTTAGTGAAGTTAAAAGTCAGTCATATGTTGGCTTGAGCTGCAGTCATGCCCTGTAATTGGAATCTAGATATACCATTAAACGGGGGCCCAGGCACACCACCTTAAGCATACCAACCACTTATAACCCTACAGTTCTAACCAGATCTCAAGAACCTGCCTTTCCATCCTGCCGGAATATATGTCTCATGATATTGTTTAACAGCCTTCTTAAAGCAAAATATGTATAGTTATGCATTGGAACAAAGCAATAGAGAAAAAACTATTTTAAGACAGCCAACACATATATTTATTCTCATCTATTCTTACACTTACTACAAGTTAAGTTTTACTGTTAAGTTTCAAGTACAGAAATGAACCAACTCACATTCTGAGTACTAGGCATCCCAGATCTTCCTTAATGTTTGTAAATCTGTTTGACACATTCTGTTCATGCACTATTGTACTGACTTGAGTGCTCCTCAAGGAGAGGCAGGAGCCATTACACTATTTGCTCTGGCATTGTCCCGTAAGAAGACTTAAGTGGAGGCTGTTAAGTGTAGGGGGGAATATTAGAGAGAGTCTTCCCTCTCTTGCCTTAGAGGGGCACACTTTGCTGCCCAGTCAGAGCCCTGTCATGAATTATGCTTTCCATTCCATAGTCCACAACATCACTCTAGTGACAGATTTCAGTACAGTATTAATAATTCTGAAAGAGCTCCTCTACATTTGTCAAAGACATGTTATTGTTTTTCCCCATAGAGTAACTGATGTAGTTGAAAGAGGCACTGACAAAATTGTATTGCCACTAACTTGAACTACTGAGTGATCTTTTTCTTTTATTCCCCTTTTTAAAAAAATGTGTATTTATCCATCAGCTCATGTTATGGAACAAGCAGATTGGCTTATGGTAAAATCAATATGAATCCAATTAGTGACGCAGACCTTAACTGCAAGGGGGGGGCCTAGTGTCATGTATCTGTTTCAGTTTAATCTGATCTTTCACCTTTTTTGAAAGGGCTCCCAAACTGAGTGGCTTTTTGACCTACCACTCAGGGTCAAAGCGCTACTTATTAAAATTTGACCCAGTGGCCCCTCCATCGTGGGAGAGGGGCAGCTGGGTCAAACCTGAGTGATGCTGTGACCCCCCCACACCAGGTCCCAATGCTTGGTGCAGGAAGCAGAGCCCAACTTCATGGGACAGTAGCCGAGCACTGCACTGACTCTGCAGCAGTGGCAGACTTGCTTTCCAGTCCCACCCCACAGACTCTTCTCAGTAATTTTTTAAGACTGGAGGGCTCCATTGTCAGATTTTGCCCAGACATACAAAAAAACTCTATACTACCCTGTCTCTTAGGCTGTACAAGACTAAAGGTAAGAGGCTAAATTTACCCCTAATGTAAGGGAAAGCAATTCACTGACTGCGGTGTAACTGGATTTCACACTCTGTTAAGAAAAGAATTTACACACTCTGGATTTCATCTGAGTTTGTCCCTTCCACGTGTTTGGATTATTGTCAATTTTTAAATAAAACAGACTAATCTTTTTTCAAACGAAACTGTACACAATGCTTAATTAATGAAAGATGTCCCTGGGCTCAAGCTATTAGGTGCCAGGGTTGAAGCAATATTTTATATTCATAAGTGGTGCAGCAAGCCCAGAAGTGCCAGAGCTATGAACTTCCAAGGCTAATGGCACCAGTGCTCAGCCCTTGCATAAATTAAGCACCAGTTGTCCCTAAGGCTTCCCTGCAGAGGGACCAACCCACCTTTCCTCTTTTTAGTAGGCAACAGTTCCTTCAACTCAAAGAGCCAGTCCCACTTTTCTTATATGTTGGGTATAATGAATAATCTGCCATTATAAATCAGAATAACCCTGTCACCTTATTTCAGGAGTTGTGCCGGCTTACACAAGGGATGAATTTGGCCCAGTGCAATCTCCTACTAAGCAGCTGGAGATTTTTATTAACTCTCGTTCTTACAGCAATACCCTAGTGAGTAATACTCTTGACTTGAAAAGGTTTGAGTTACCATGTTTACATTTGAGTTGATTTGCACCTACTGATTCACCATTTAGATTTTTGGATGTTTTGCTCTGACTGAAGTCAGCCATGGCAGCAATACCAAGGGCATCCGGACAACTGCCAGATATGATCCCAGCACACAGGTTAGTCTGTAATCTACTGAAGCGGTACTTTTATCGTTTACATTCTATTATAAAGACATTGGGACAAAATGATTTTATGATTAACAATAATTAATAATTTGCTCTTATCTGCCACTTTTTTGCAATAGTAAAGCGATGTGAGAACTGGAATTTCCATCCCACAAAAAATGTTGCTTTTAAAATACACCATTCTGAATTAGAACAAAAAGTCAGATACATGAAATTTTCCCAGGAAGGATTTAAAAAAAAATCTGTCTAGGAAGAACCAAAACAGATTTTTTTAAAATAAATTCTGCTTCAGCAACGGAAGCAGCTCTCTCTCTGTCAGCCCTCCAGAGAGACTGCTCAGGAGCTGTCTAGCAAGTTGTGCAGTCTCAGATAAAATCCATCTTATTTCTTGGGCATGTCTATGAAAGCTACGATCACACTTAGTGATTGCAGAGTAGACATATCTTGTAAGTCATAAAATGGTTTTAAAATAATTAGCAAAGGGGATTACGGTTTTAAAACATAAGTACAGTATACATACCTTACTCGGCAAAAATTCCAGCCTGCCCTTTGCTGAGCCTCCTTATTGGTGGAAGCAAATGAACGCAGCTATATGTTTTTTTTCTGTTTAAGTCTGTTAGGCAACATAACATCTTTTGTCCCTGTCCTGCCGTCAGCTCAGTGAGGGTAGATTTGTCCTCTCACAGAAAGTCTCATTGAAGCAAATGGAGTCAATGAGGACACAGAGGACTTTGCAGAATAGGGCATGGTATCAAGATGTCAGGAGCATTTTGCAAAACCCTCAAGACTGTTGTGGGTGTCCATGGCACTCCCTCCGCTCAACATGTTATAAGAAAGTTGAGAGGTTGAATTTTAGTCCTCAAGTTGACAATTAAACACATGTTCTGCCCTGACTTTTCCTTAGACATACATTCCAGAATAAAGCTTAGCCTGAAAGATTCCTGTCAGTTCCACTCTCCTTGTTGTGAATGTGCAGGATTGAAGTATGGTATGAAATGCTGGCCATTTTCAAAATGTTACAGTGGCAGCAAACAAAAAGAAATGATGGACGTACATTCATTAGTATGATTTAAGACTTTCCCACTTTTTGACTCTTTGTAGAAATTTATCATCAACACTCCTGATTTTGAAGCTGCCAAGTTTTGGGTGGGCAACATGGGGAAAAATGCCACTCATGCTGTCGTCTACGCCCAGCTGTACACTCCTGATGGACAGTGCCATGGATTACATTCCTTTGTTGTGCAGGTGAGAAAGGAGTACTACTTAAAAAAACACGTCATTGTATTATGTCCATTACGTGATTTCTGTAAAGATGTCTTCAATATTTCCCACCAAACTTCAGTATTTATTTGGTGACTATGCTTTTGAGTCAAGATTACAGTCAAATTTGCTGTAAGTAGAAAGTGCAAATGAACCTCCATATTATTGCATCACACACGCAGTTTGAAATAGCCTACAAAATGTGAACTACTTTAAATCAGGAGCTCTGCAGAGTGGAGAATGGCCCTAAATGCTTGGAAAGTGCTTAACACAAACTGGGCAAATAAATAATATGGAATAATAAATGCAACAAGAATCAGTGAGGGCATATATGTTGGAAGTTACATGTGTCCAAATAGAAACACTCCCATTGGTTTAGGGGACATTAGATGCAGTCCCATTTTCTAATGAGGATCCTCAATACTTGCACACCGCATGTGCATTGGTGTCTGAGGATCTCCAAAAGGGGCCAAAAACATGGCAACTAATTCTAGCATCATTATTTGAAATGTCAGTGGGATGAAGGAAGATGGTATACATTATTTTAATTGTTTTTGAACATTACATGTATGAAGAAAAAAAGAAAAAAAATTATGGAGAGAGTTTTGACAGTTCAAGTGGCAGCGTGTGTTGCAAGTGAAACAAAATGCAAACACTGGCTTTTCAGCTGTGGTGGACTGTTAATCTTCCAGAGTACTGCTAGTTTATGGCAAGGTAAAACCTAAGCATATAATGTTAACTGAAGCGTGTGTGCAGGGCACCAGAAATTGAATAATATAATCATAGAAGATTAGGTTTGGAGCTCAAGAAGCCATCTAGTCCAACTCCTTGCTTAAAGCAGGATCAATCCCAGATAAATCATTCCAGCCAGGGTTTTGTCATGTCTGGCCTTAAAAATTTCTAAGGATGGAGATTCCACCACCACCTTACGTGACCCATTCCAGTGCTTCACCATTCTCTGAGTGAAATAGTTTTTCCTAATATCCACCCTCAACCTTCCTTACTGCAACTTGAGTCCATTGCTTCTTGTTCTATTATCTGCCTTGCTCTATCATCACTGAGAACAGCCTAGTTCCATCCTCTTCACATAGTTGGCTGCTGTCAGATCTCCCCTCATTCTTATTTTCTGCAGACTAAATAAGCCCAGTTCCCATCAGCCTCTCCTCATAAGTCATGTGCTCCAGCCAGGCAATCATTTTTGTTGCTCTCCTCTGGACTATTTCCAATTTGTCCACATTCTAGGCCCAAAACTGGATTCAGTACTCAGATGTGGTCTCACCAGTACTGAATAGGGAAAATAATCACTTCCCCCCATCTGCTGGCAGTGCTCCTACTAATACAGCCCAATATGCCTTTAGCCTTCTTGGAAACAAGAGCACACTATTGATTCATATCCAGCTTCTCATTCACTGTAATCCTCAGGGCCTTTTCTGCTGAACTGCTGCTTAGCCAGTTGGCCCCCAGCCTATAGCAGTGCTTGGGATTGTTCTGTCCTAAGTTCGGGACTCTGCATTAGTCCTTAAAATCATAGAACACTAGAACTGGAAGGGACCTCGAGAGGTCATTGAGTCCAGTTTCCTCCCCTCATGGCAGGACCAAGCACTGTCTAGACCATCTCTGATAGATTTCTATCTAACCTTCTCTTAAATATATCCAGAGATGGAGATTCCACAATCTCCCTAGGCAATATATTCCAGTGTTTAGCCACCCTGACAGTTAGGAAATTTTTCCTAATGTCCAACCTAAACCTCCCTTGCTGCAGTTTAAGTCCATTGCTTCTTGTCCTATCCTCAGAGGCCAAGGAGAACAATTTGTCTCCCTCCTCTTTGTAACACTCTTTTATGTACTTGAAAACTGCTATCATGTCCCCTCTCCGTCTTCTCTATTCTAAACTAAACAAGCCCAGTTCTTTCAGGGTACGTCTACACTAGCCCCCTAGTTCAAACTAGGGAGGCTAATGAGGGTGACCGAAATTGCAAATGAAGCGCGGGATTTAAATATCCCACGCTTCATTAGCATGTTCCCGGGCGGTCACCATTTTGGAAACTGACTAGCCTGGAATAACTGCCTGTGTCTACACATTCCACGAGGAGTAACAGCTAATTTGAGTTAGGGGTTTACTTCGAACTCCCGATTGACTGCCGTGTGGCCACTGCTTTAACCAAAGACAAAGCAATGAAATGGCAGAGGAAGACACCAGACAAGGGTGATTGGATTACCGAAATACTCCTAGCCTCATCTGCATTGAAGATAGAACAGACAGACATCTACATTAGCGTACTGAATGGAGAACAGCCCTTCCAAAGCAAGAACCTGCACTGAACTATGGGATACAGAAAGCAGCATAGCATTGCCTGGTGGGAAATCTTTGCTCCAAGTGCTAAATGAACCCGTATCTGTCCACATGCCAATCAGTAATTATCAGACCAAAAGGAGGTTTCTATGCTAGTTGTGATTAGAAGACAAATGCACATTGGGAGTATGATAGTGTAAGTAGTGGCGTGTTATCAATGAAAGTGAAAGATTTCCAAGCGACTTTTATTATTGAATTGAGAGTATCTTGTATGAAAAGATGCACAAGAAGAAATTATTTTCAAGACTGGATTCTGTTTACCTGAATTTCGAAAAATAATGTGATTAAAAATTGTTAATAATAAAATGTAAATTGGGAGTACTTTTCACTGTTTGAAAGGAGTCCACCAAGAGCATTAGTTTTTTCATGACTATAATATTGTTTTATTTAATTTCCACATAGATTCGAGATACAAAAACATTGCTTCCTATGCCAGGAGTGATGGTAGGGGACATAGGAAAGAAACTTGGGCAGAATGGTTTGGATAATGGGTAAGTCAATAACATTTGAATTAAGAAAATCACTATACTTACATTGATACTTATAAATGTATGCAGCAAAAATACGAAGTCTGTTCCATATTTCCGTTGAGGCAAGTACTTATTATAATGATACTAGGAGACTGTACCCCCTGCTCACTGCACTCATCAACTTCCCTCCCCCCTCACAGGGGGTAGGCAACCTTGCCCCCCCTCTTCCCTCCTCCACGACCAGGGGCCATGCCATCCTGGGCCCCTTCTCCCTCCCCAACCCCACCAACTTAGGCCCCTTTTCCCTCTCCACCCCATCAGCTCCCTTCTCCCTCCCCCTCCGCCAGCTCAGGCCCTTTCTCCGCTCAACCCTAACCCCTTTCCTGCCACTGTGGCACATGCCAGGCCCAGCTCTGACCCTGGCAGCTGGGAAGTTGATAAGGGAGAACTAGGAACACACACATTGGTGGACACAGTCGCATTGACTGAAGACACAAAAGCAAAAGTAGGCAACTTTGGTGGAGGAGGACTAGAGTAATGCTGAAATCTAGATTTCTGCCTCTATGGAGACTATCCACCATAACTTTTAGCTATGAGTATATTTACTTCAGTGATTATATCGTCTCAAGCCCCTGGTGACAATGACAGTTTTACTCATATCAAAGCAAGGACAAATCTAAACACATAAAATGAAGAGAGAGTCAGACCCATTAAACAAGAGAATAAAGGTGAGAAACATCAGCCCAAAACAAAAGCTCAAAACAAAGCAGGCAAAAATACCACCAACAACAATTGAGAGAAGAGCCAACAGCTCCAAAGACAAAATATGACATTTTAAGCAGCTATGGATGATTATATTTTTCCCCAGTCTGTTTGCCAGTATTCACAGCTTCATTAATAGCCTCTGTTCTAGCCTCACTTTCCTCAAGGAAAGTCCGTTAAAGCAGACTATTTGAGTGGGTGTGGGGAGAAGAACTACAATGAGATATTAAGGTAGATTCCCCCAGTGACAAAGCTAGCATTAAATCACATGTTTCTTTGAACTCATCTTTCTTTGCACGAGACTTTTTTTTCTAATGAAGTCACTTGATCTTTGTAAATGTTATTGCATGCGCAATGCAAGCCACGTTCCAGCAGGTGGCACTGTTGCATGGGCCTAAATAAACCAAATTGAGAAATTTGGTTTTGCATTTATGTGAAGATGGAGTAATGACACTGAAATTTATATTTGAACTACAGAATAGTTTTCAGTGCAGATCCACAAACACAGACAGTATTTGATAGTTGTGTGTGTCCATCATATGTGTGCATCAATGCTGAAATAATAGATTATTGTATAGATGCTGCATTTGTCTACACAGGGACACAGGATTTTAGAAGACATTTTTTCATTACACAGTTTACTTTCAAGCGTGCAGGCAGTAGCCAGTATTTTTAGACAAAATGCATACAGTGCATTTTGATTGGAAGTCTATGCAGTACATTGTAAGAAAGATATAGTACACAACATGCTATGTAAATGTCATGAGACAGTCTCCTATGTTGGTTAGGACAGCTGCTAATTTGAAAGAATTGTGAGTATTCTAACTTCCCTTGACTATAAGGGTTTTTTATTATGTATCATTTGTATTACGGCAGTTTCTAGGAGCCAGAGTCTTGGACTAGGACACCATCGTGTTAGGTGCTGTACAAATGCAGAACAAAGAGCTTATAAAACAAGAGACAATGATTAGGCAGAGATAGACAAATGGGAGAGTGTAATGGGGTTGGCTGGCTCCTAAGTGCCTCCTTGTGGCCAACATCGTTTCTCAAGAACTCTGCCTGAGTTTCCTCTTCCTTCAGGGCTCCTCAAAGCCTCCACACGGTCCAGAGGTGTTAAAGACAATTTTCCGTCTAGAGCATCTGATTTATGAAGTTTTTGTAACATTTCTATTGGCTGTCCAGGCCTAAATCTTTTCCTCTGGTTCGAAGGACTTTCTGCCCTCTCTCCAGTGGCTGTGATTAGATTCAGGCTTGCTTTGTCCAGCTGTTCTCTTTATATTCCTGTAATCCAGTTCTTTATAGAAAGGCAGAAACATCCTTCAGACACAAAATAATTCAGTGTTTAAGGCCCCACATAGTCTGCACCTGGATACAGCTGTAGGTCAGTCTTCCTGCTCTCAAAGCATCAGCTTCCCAGTGTCTCAGAGTTCCTTTCAGGAGCCCTGTTACCCTTCTCCAAGTTTCTGCGTTATCGTGCCAGGGCTGGTGGTCACCTGACTCTCCTATTCTCCTGACCTAGAGAGAAGAGTTGGCTAATCAAAAGTGGTGCTGGGCCCCTCTCCTGCTACAGTGGACTGCCATTCTGTGACAAGGAGCACAGTGGGTTGATATAATCAGCCTCGCATGCTCTCACCTTCTGACAGCTTAAGTCACAGCTGAGAACCTACGAAGGCAGGAAAGCTGCTGGGATGAGGTCATAGCAATGTGAAGCACCAGTACATCAAACTCAGCTAGAAGGCTTGGAAGGCACTGGCTCTACACAGAATCCAGCTGAGAGGTCTGGCCAGGGAAGCAGATTCGGTGCATCTGCTGAGCAACCTCTGGTGTATGGGTTCCTTTGGAGCATCAAAGATAAACATTTGGCACCTCCCACATTCAGATGCTAGAGAAATGGGTGTGTTTATGTTTAGGGTGTAACATGAGCAACCTAGGAGAAAGAAATTCACACCCTCTCTTTGCATTTCCACTAGAGATTGGGTTTAAATCCAGATCCAAAATGCTGCTAAAGTGGGAAGAGGAAGTTCAGGCCCCTCTAACAAAAACAAAAAAACCCCTTCTTACATAAAGCTAAAAACCGCACAAAGAGTAAAGAAATGAAGCTGATTATAAACAACCCCCAAATCTTTAGGGAAACTAACCAACATCATATAATAGTTTCTGAGCTTTGCTTTTATGAAAACAGCGCTGTGAAATTGTTGATCCAGGGCATAACAGATTAGCTACTTCCAGAAGTTATTTTAGTACTCTTAAGGTGTTTGAGGTTTTTTCCCCACTGTTGTTCATTAGCGCACAGAAAATTCCCAAGAAGAGAGATCTGGATGCAGTATAATACATCACTATGGACAATGTGTTAGCACATTAGCATACCAAGAAGGAATGTCTCTTACAAAGAAAAGTGAAACCTACTTTCATAGTGTGCTTCGATGCAGCTGCTCAAAAAGAAAAAAAAAAAAGGAATCTATCCCTCTATGAATTCTCAACTGCTTTGTCTGAGAGAAGGCTTGGGTCTAGATTGTCACATGTCTTTATTGGGATGTCAGGAGTGGTGTGGAGATGAGATTTCACAAGAACCTACCCTCCCCACCATCCATCACATGTCCACACGCATTTTGCAAATCTAGCACAAACGTCAGTCACAAGTGCCGCCTGTGCACTCAGAGGCACATGAATCCCCAGAGGGAGTTGGGAGGATGTGACCTGGCCTTCCCATACCAGTGAGCATAGCAGGCAGTCTGTAGTACTCAAGTGATGTAGGTGCATGCTGTGCACTCCTTGATATACCAGGTTACATGAGGAAAGAGTCCTCCCTGAGGCATAAACTCTCCCTGACTCCCCTTAAGGCTGGATAAGGTCTGGAGTGCGGGGAGAAATTACAGAAATTAACTGAGTGAAATTCTATGGCCTGTGGTAAGGAGGTCAGCCTAGATAATCATAATTGTTTCTTCTGGTTTTGAAAACTACAAATCAAGTGGGTTGCTCAGCTGAAGTTTGGTTTCCTGGTAATGTAGATCATAATGTTTTTATCATAGGTGGGATTTTTACAAGTACCTAAGGGCTGTTGGAGCACTAGTCTTATTGAAAGTCACCGAACAGACTATTTTCTGTCTAACAAACGCATATAGCGCCCTTCACTGTACACCTCTGAACACCTCACGACTTAGGGGCACATGGCTTTTGAAAACCTCTCACCAGGAGGCCAACTTTAGGCACTCATGTAAAAAATCCTGAGCTATTTTTAATCTCTTTTGTTTTCTTCCACGTACATAACATTTAGTGCATACAGATGCATTCTTTCCGCTCAGGTTTTTCATCTTTCTCCTTCAGTAACATAACACAGCCACCAGAGGGTGCAACTGCTACAGAGCCTCAGCCAGGCCTAAATGTTTGAAAAAAAGTATCTAGTTACTAACACTAGTTTGTGTGTTCCTTTGCTACATTCTGTACATGGGGATAGTTTAAAAAACAAACAAACAACTGGACTTGTGTCATAGATCCAGTCAGGTGCCCCATTTCTAGTCACCCACCAGGATGCTATGGGAAGAATCCAAACTTCTGAGTCCCTGGATGTGTTAAGCTGCCAGGACTTGAACAAAATTCACACTTTACCATCATCTTCTTGGGCTGCAGACCTGTCTGGCATGCCATCTGAGAACTGGAACCTGCTGTCCAGCTGCCTAGCCTGTAGGTGCAATGACGACCCCTCATACACTCCCATACTTAAACACACCTCTCTCAGAACTCCACCCCAAAAGGCATGAACCTCCCGGGTGACAATTTATCTCTCTCAGGAGGCACTGTGTTGGTTGTGAATCATTTAACACGGAGCCACATTTCACAAGTGTAACACATTATATCTTAGAGGGGTAGCCATGATAGTCTGTATCTGCAAAAACAATGAGGAGTCCCATGGCACTTTAGTCCTGGTCTACACTAGAGAGTTATTTCAAAATAATAATAAGTGGATCGTCCATACTACGAAGCCTATTATTTTGAAGTAACAGGCTAGTTATTTCAAAATCTGTACTCCTGTTTTCCTGGGGGAATGAACTTATTTAAAAATCGGGAGTTATTTTGCAATACGTTATTTTTAAATAATTCTGTACTGTAGACATGCCCTTGGAGACAGATTTATTAGGGCATAAGCTTTCATTGGAAAAACCTGTTTCATCAGATGAATTGGAGTGGAAGTTACAGAAGCAGGAGTGTATATATGAGGAAGAAGTTGTTTGTGTTAATGACACTAATCAAGTCAGCATGGA